CTGGTTTATTTATGTTTTGATCTTTTTATTGTCTCTCATCAATTGCCGACTGCTTGCATTATGCCGTGGTTGATTGCATTTAACTGCACAACCTGTTTGCTATATCTCAGAACCCGAAGTGGCTCGTGTGATCACTGATGGTCATCAGATGGATTCTTTTTTCCCCCTTTTTTCTTAAAAACATAGTTTGTAAACATTTCTTTTTATCATTTTTTGTTATCTAGTAACCATCATGTTTGTCATATACTCACAAGTACGAGTTTTTGTAAGCCTTTTCTTGTTTCAAATGTTGTAGTCAAGTTGCCAAATCATGGTTGTCTCAGTCACTGTCACTAAAGTTTTCATGTGAATGAAAGTTAATAAATATTTGCTGTATTTTACAATGGAGCTCTATATATGACCGCAGCTCTTCACATTTGATGCAGATTAGATATTCTTGGTAGATTGTCCATGTCATGGAAATAATTAATGAGATCCCCGCAAAGAAAACAAAGAGACTGACTTCTGTTGTCTGGAATCACTTCGAAAGAGTCAGAAAGGCAGACGCACAGTATGCTGTTTGTGTCCATTGCAAAAAGAAACTAAGTGGATCCAGTAATAGTGGTACAACGCATTTAAGGAATCATTTGTTGAGATGTCTGAAGAGATCGAACTATGATGTTTCTCAAATACTTTCTGCCAAGAGAAAGAGAAAAGAAACCAGTCAGAGTCCTCTTCATCAAAGTAATCTTGGCCTTACAAGCATCACCTATGAGGAAGGGAAAATAAAAGACGAAATCCTCAGTCCCATACCTATTAGATTTGACCCAGAGCAAAAGAAAGATGAAATTGCCCAAACTATCAATCTTGGAAGTATCAAGTTCGATCAAGATCGCTGTAGGTTGGATCTTGCTCGCATGATTATGCGACATGGTTATCCGTTGGCCATGGTCGACCATGTTGGGTTCAAAATATTCGTCAGTAATCTGCAGCCCATGTTTGAGGTTAACAATAATGGCTCAGTTGAACTAGACTGTTTGACCATCTACGGGAAGGAGAGACAAAAGGTATACGAGTCCATTTACCATTTCCATGGTAGAATCAATCTTGCTGTTGACATGTGGGGCTCACCTGAGGGCTCTGAATATATTGGCCTAACAGCTTACTACATTGATGCGGACTGGAAGCTACAGAAGAAAGTGTTGAATTTCATTTCATTGGATCCATCTAGCACTGATGACATAATCTCAGAAGCTATTATCAAGAGCACAACAGACTGGGCCATTGATGGCAAGTTGTTTTCCATGACATTCGATGACTCTTCTGCCTATGAAGTCATGGTGTTCAAGATTAAGGATTGGCTGTCCCAGAATAGACCTCTTTTAAAGAGTGGCGAGTTATTTGACGTGCGGTGCATTTTGCATCTCTTGAAATCCATTGTGCAAGAAGTCATGGAATCGTGTCGGGAAGTGACTCTTAAAATTCGCGAGAGCATAAGGCTTGTTAAGAGCACACAAAAATTGCTCTCGAAATTCAATGAGTTTGCCGAGCAAGCAGGAATTGGGAGTGGTAGACGTTTGGTTCTCGACCATCCAATGCACTGGAACTCGACCTACTTGATGCTTGAATCAGCAATTGAGTACAAGGCCGCCTTTCTCCTTATGCAGGAGCACGACCCATCCTACTCGAAGGCTTTATCAGAGAGCGAGTGGGAACAGGCTAGTGCTGTTGCTGCCTATATGAAATTTCTTCTCGAGTTCACTAATATCGTAATAGGAAACAGTAACCCGACTGCCAACATATTCTTTTCAGAGATTTGCGACATGCACGTCCAGTTGAATGAGTGGTGTAAGAGCCCTGATGAGTTTCTTAGTTCGGTGGCCTTGAGAATGAAAATCAAGTTCGATACATATTGGAGCAAGTGCAGTTTGGTACTAGCTATAGCGGCAATTTTAGACCCTCGTTTTAAGTTGAAGTTAGTAGAGTACTATTTTAGGCAGATTTATGGTGCTGCTGCCCCTGACCGTATAAAAGAAGTGTCTGATGGTCTCAGGGAACTATTTAACGAGTACTCCATGGGTTCATCCTTGTTAGACCAAGACCCCGATAGCAGTTTACCTAGTAGCAGCAATGTTATTAGAGATAAACTCAAGGGCTTCGACAAATTCCTATATGAGACTTCCCAAAATCAGAACATGTCATCAGATCTGGACAAGTATTTGGAGGAGCCTGTCTTTCCCCGTAATTACGATTTCAGCATATTAAATTGGTGGAAAGTCCACATGCCGAGGTATCCAATATTGTCCATGATGGCACGTGATCTTCTTGCGATTCCTGTGTCTACTCTTGGACCAGATCTAGCATTCAGCAGCAGTGGTAGATTGCTCGATAAGTATCGTGCGTCGTTAAGTCCAGAGACTAGAGAAGCTTTGATATGTGGGCAAGATTGGCTGCAAATTGAACCAAAAGGTAACATGCAATAGTATCTTTATGCACAATTGCAAAAAAACTGCTATTGAGGTGTAGCCCATTGAAAACCTAATTATTATCTTATAAAGTTTGAGAATGGACCTTTAAAAATGAAATAAATGTTGCACAACGAAGAGGGGAAGGGTTTTTTTTTTGTTGTTGTTGTTGTTGTTGTGTATGCGCGCATACCTGAAGGTAAAGCGTGTCACACTTGAAGGACTTTTTGTAATTATCCTATAATGTTTTAGATAAATTTTGTCTTGTATTTACTTTTGCATGGTAATAAGTTCATCCTTTCGTATCTGTCCAGCGACCACCCTAACACTAAGCAATCTTCCGTTGCCCCTATCTGTGGACACAAGTTGATTTGCCATACGGTATGATGTGTTGTTATGTATTATATGATGGCGTTGCAAATTGAGCTCTTAAAATTGTACTTATGCGAATTCTCAATTTCACGTGAAGGTTCGACAGACTGAAAAGCAGCTCCTGCCGATCCCTCCCTTTTTTTCTTAATTTTTTTGTTTTTCTTTTTCTTTTTTGTATATTATTTATTAGGTGCAAAACTGTTTTGGCTGCTTAATTTATGTTCTGCTGAGATCCAAAAGGATGATTGACTATGCATAATTGGCATTTTCTTTGTTAGGTTGCTTGTTAGTCTTGGTCCCTTGGCATGAGTAGGTAGAGACCATTTGATTGTCATCTGTAATAACATCACTACCTTCTGAGATGTGCAGATTATGCTTTTTTCAACCCCTCTTAGTGTGCCTGTTTTGTTTTATTACATTTGTTACCTGTTTTGGGCAAATGCTGCTCAATGTTCCTTTATGAATCATTTGATCATTATTGATATCACTTCCTATATGAAATGCAATATGATGTTTGTACTGAAGGGGTCACCAAATTTGATGGTGTGACTCTAATTACAGGGGTATATTTTTTCTGAAATACATTTAACATATTTTTCTATGCTATTCCAATAAATATAACTATATGTACTATACTCCACACACACAAATAATAATAATAATAATAATAATAATAAAAAATTGAAAAAATTTGATGATAATGTTCTGAAGATACATTGGGATATGGGTAGGAATTATGGTTATTGTTAGAGCAACCTAGATAACTATATTTTATTAATAAGTATGCATGCTTTCATTATCATATATCATATACTCGAATAAACAACTCAAACGAAATAATGGCATTTAAAATTATAGATATTTATTTTTATTTAGAAAAATATGATGGATTGACCCATCTAGTTCACCTCGCAACAATACTTTTACTAAGTTATTATATTTAGATAATTATTAAATTGTTGTTTTGTAACTCGTCCACAGGACCACAAGATTCCTGCATAGAGGAATAGAAGAGATTAACTAATCATTTTGTCAGTAATTACAAGTAGTCATTTTGTCCTACACAATTATTAATCAACTTAAAATCCAGTTCTGCACTTGCCAGTTATGAGGCCCTCATTTCATGCTCAAACCTGCAAAACCATCTCCTTATTTTATTCCCCCAAGGACGAATAGCAACTGTATGCTTGTGTTGAATCTTAATTTTATATAACTAATAATAGAAAAATCTCATTTGACCTGTTTTGAATATGGTAATTTAAACGGAAGTTGGTGTAGTTTAGCAGACCTTGGTTAGTACTTCGATGAATTATAGCTATCAAACAGATTATATCTATTATAAGAATTTTATATATATATATATATATATATATATATATATATGTCATAAAATATAAGATAAAACTTAATAAGATAATATAATAGGAAAACTAAGTGGGAGGATTAATGGATTCGTTATTCCGCGTGGGCCTTGTTTGGTAATTAGCAGTTAGCTGATAGCTATTAGCTGATTGCATTAGCTGCTTTGACCAGCGGATTGCATTAACACTTTTTATGTGGTCTCACTTTACCACCATCTAAAATGCGCGAAACTTCGATTGGTGGAAGCCAGTCCATGAAGATTCTCCCTTTTCTTTGACTAGATGTTTGCGTTTGTAAGAGAGTGTTTGGTAAAATTAACTATTTTAATTAGCTATTAACATGTAAAATTACTTATAAGGACATCTACATAATTTGTCATTCTTATTTATGTTGAACTTATAATTATTTAATAAGTAAAAATAATTAATATTTTAAATATTAATTAAAGTGATTTAAAATATAATAAAAATATAAATAATAATAAGATGAAAATATTTTTTAATTGAATAAATAAGTGCACGTCATATAAACGAAGCTAATAACAAGTCATCACTATTTAAAAAATAAATAAGTAAATGTGAACCAATTTCAATATCTCTCATTACAATTAAAATAAATAAATAAAAGAAATTTAAGTAAAAATTTACATTAACAATTTCTAGAAGGTCCCATTTATATTTAACTAAAATTATATATGTTTAAAATGTTAGAAAAGTTGTAAGTATTAAACTAGAATTAGTTGGAATGACATTTATATATTTAAATATTTTTCTTATGTCACATAAATTATAATTTTTAAAAACTAAATATTATTTAAAATTTTAAAATATAAAAAATGTTATAAATATTTTATTGGTATAGGTTTGAATAAAAAATTATGAGTCACAAGTTTAATCGGTTTTGATTTATGTCCAATTGTGTCGAATGAACATAATAATAAATAATGACAATTAAGACTTTTGATTATTTTATCTCAAACCCCTGAAATCAAACGCTAAGAAAAGTAGCGTTTTTTCATTTTAGCGGATTGGGCCAAAAAAGTTAATTGTAAAAGTTGTTTACTGAACATTTCCTTCAACTGATTGTCAAACAACAAAATAACTCAAAAAGCTCTTTTAAGGCCAAAATGTCATTAAACAAACGTAACCTAAATCTTTTGGAAAACAAAGCGCACTTGCATTAGTTAACTTAATGGAGAATCTTGTAATTTAGAAAAAGCTTAATTGCAAATAAAACCATGACCTTTTCAAAATTTGCAATTTTATGCACGATTTTTAAAGTTGGCAAATATATGCACCATTTTCACTTTTTTTTGCAATTCTCTACAACCACTACACCAATAAAAGTTGTATGACTAATTTACTAGTGTTAAATATATATACACATATAGTATGAACAATCAAATTAAATTTAAAAGATAATGTAAATTATATTTCATTATATTAATAAGATATAAAATTATAATAATTAAAACATAATAAAAAAAATTATATATATTAAATGAAAAAATAAATTAAAATAAAGTAAGATAACATTTATTATAGTAGAGTGCATTAAAATTAAATTAAATTTAAATATATTTATTTATTTCTTGTTTATTTATTTTTTTTTTTTCGGAACGAAAGAGATATTATATCAAACCTCAAAAGAGAACAAAGTTCTAATACAAACATTTGAATTCGGATTCGTTTAACTTTTGAATATAAAACATTATTCGTATTCGAATTCGAATCACGAATATCGAATTCGAATATCGAATCGAATAAAAAAAAAATTAATTTGTTTACAAACCTATCCTTCGCCATATGATTCGTCGTTCCAAAGCTGTGGTCGTTGCCAATAAATTTCCCAACCTTGGAGAGCTTCTTTATCTTGTTATTCGTAAAAAGCTTCGCCTTGCTCGAGTTGCTTGCTCTAGCACGTTAGCACGAGCTTCCATCATTGGATCTTTAACCCAAAACTCATGGTTTTTCCTCTTCAATTCAGAGACGAACAACTAGATCATAAGACTCATTTCCTTCCTCCTATGATTTAGGTAGTTGATAAAGTCTTTCCAACCCAGCAACTTCTCAATCACAGCTGCAACATGGAATGACTCAGTTAAAGTCATTCCTTTAGCATGGATGTTGTGCAAGATCAGTTTAAACTCTAAAATTTGAGATAAGATTGTCTTAGAGTTGACTATCTTGAAGTCTAAATACTTGTTGACAATGAATTTCTTCACCTCGACATCTTCAGTTTTGTACTTCTTCTCCAAAGCAGTCCATAGCTCTTTGGTAGAACCCATCGAGGTATACACATTTTACAACTTGTTATTAAGTCTGTTTTAGGACATAGTTTTAGCAAAGGTCATTGTCCCCAAGCATCGTACACAATATGTAGTACATCATTGGTCATTTTCATCAATGACATGGGGGCTGTCCTTCAGGTACTTCACGAAGCCCAATGTGGTTTTGTAAAAGTGCATCTTCTGCAACTACCTCTTGAAACCAAAACCCATTATTTTTTATTTTTTATTTTTTTGTGTACTCTACAGTCGGTACATTGACAAGTACGAGATGAGGATGATGAAAAAGATTGTTGAAAGGTTGGTGAGGTTTGTGAGTTTGCTAAGCATTTGAACCATCTCCAACGGATACCATCAATTCAATATATGGATTATTAGTCATGACGTTGTTAAAAACTGAGTGTCAATTACACGAGAATCTTATGAACTGAAGTGTTTAGTTCTTACAGAGAACTAAGAATAGGAAATGAAATTATATCTTTAAGCAGAAAGATTAAAACCAAGGCGAGAAGATCTCTTTTCTTAAGACAAATACACCCCATATAGTGCTAATGGGTTAGTGCGTCTCGTCCGCAAAGATACAACGACAATTGTCTCAAAGGTTGTAGCACATCAGACTTCTCAGCTCCGATAAACTAGAATATAGATGAGAACTGAGCACATTTATGATATGATGCGTGAGGCTTTCATAAAGTAAGATGCAAATGATGATATGTTCAGTATCTGCAACTCTAACCATCTACTATTTATAAAACTTCCAGCTAAGGCTGGGAAAAGCAAAGGTCAACTGCCACTAAAGGCAAGTACCAACCCAATCATGGTTGCTGTAAAGGGCATAAAACTAGGGGTGGGCAAAAAAACCGAATTTCCCGGTACCGAACCGGACCGAAATGGTCCCGTTTCGAAAAATAGGGTTCCAAACGGGTTTTTTGATTTTCGAACCGTTCTCGGTCCCGAACCGTTTGAAACAATGTCGGTATCAGTTTTGAATATTTTTATCCTGAACCGTCCCGTTTGTCCCGTTTTAATTTTTTTGTACAAAAATATTATATATATATATATATATTATACATTATTATTGCATTTATGTTGGTATTATAGTAAATAATTAATAATAGTTTTTTAACTTCTTACTTCAGTTCAAGTTTTGTATTTGTAACTGTTAAAGCCCAATCCTCTAGCTCAAAAAAATTAAAAAAAACTAAGAGGATGATTGGATATAAAAAGTTTTGGTTTTGTTTGGATTTTTTTGTTTGGTTTGGTTAATTTTAAAAAAGTTGGTATGGTTAGTTGTTAGTGGGTAGATTAAATAATATTTAAAATAAAATGATTAAAGTTGATTTGATGTAAAGTAGGTGAGAGAAAATTTGAAGTGATGGTTAGTTAAAATTATGTAAGTGGATGAATAGTGAATTAAGGTAAGGTGGTGTGTAAGAATGATTGATTAATAATATTTAATTATATTGATAATATTAATGATAGTGGGGTTGAGTTAAAATTGAGTTAAAAAAAGTGGTTGAGTTAAAAATGTTTGGATTTTTTTGAAAAATTTTGTATCCAAACATGCTCTAAACCATTACTTATTTGGCCCAAATATATAAGTCAACTGAGAAGGCAATGAGGCATTATTGTGGGGTGGGGGTGGGGGTGGGTTGAAGTTGAATTGTGAAGTTCACTTTTCACAATTCTCATTCCCAAACAATTTAACATTCTCAACCAATTCCTCAAATCAAATCGGTATTTGGTTGAGTTTTTTTTTTTTGATCCATTTTGTCCCGGTCCCGATTGATATCGATCCGTTTCGGTGTCTCGTCCCGGACCGTTCCCGAACCGGTTCATAAAAACGGGACATGTACCGGGATAGGTCAAATCCCGGACCGTCCCAGACTGTGCCACC